TGTGCCAGGTCCCGGCCCTCTCATGGGTCCCGTACGGCCCCCCATTGCTGCTGTCCCCCATCGCCCCCACCCCTGCCTTTGTGCCCCCTTTTCCAAGGTCTCTTCACACTGTTTGTTTTTTAAATTTTTTTGAAAATAGGGTCTAATTTGGCCCAGATTAACCCCTCCCCAACGTTTGGCCCCCCGGGCCCCCTAATTTTGCCCATGGGCCCCCCTAAAAATAGGGCCCCCCCATCCCCCTGCTGCCAAAGTTCCAAAAGCCCCCTCCCCAGGGGGCCCTTTTGGGCCCCTCCCTTTTGCTGCGGGTTTTCCATCGCCACACTTCCGTGCCATTTTTCGGTCTCCTCACACACTGTGGTGGGGTTTAAAATTTTTGACATGGGTTTTTGGGAGATTACGGGCCTCCTATGTGCGGGCCGGGCCCAACTCCCGGGCCCCTATTTTTTAACCGCCTCCTCATGCTGCCAGCCAAGTCCAGAGTCCTCTCATGGGTCCCTGTACGCCTCCCATTGCTTGCTGTCTCCATCGCCACACTCTGCTGCCATGTGCCACTTTCAGGTCTCTTCACCTCTGCTGGTTGAGTTTTTAAATTTTTTGACATAGGGTGCTGGCAGATTACGGGCCTCCCATAGCTGCTGCCAGGCCCCTAATCTGCCATGGGCCCCTATATACCGCCTCCTCATTGCTGCTGCCAAGTCCCAGAGTCTCTCATGGGTCCCTGTACGGCCTCCCATTGCTGCTGTCTCCATCGCCACACTCTGCCATGTGCCACTTTCAGTCTCCTCACACACTGCTGGTGTGTTTGAATTTTTTGACATAGGGTGGCTGGCAGATTACGGGCCTCCTATAGCTGCTGCCAGGGCCCCAATCTGCCATGGGCCCCTATATACCGCCTCCTCATGCTGCTGCCAGGTCCAGAGTCTCTCATGGGTCCCTGTACGGCCCTGCCATGGGCCCCTATATGCCGCCTCCTCATGCTGCTGCCAAGTCCTCAGAGTCTCTCATGGGTCCCCTGTACGGCCTCCCATTGCTGCTGCCAGGAGGCAGCAGGTCGCCAGCAGTGTCAGTGGAGGCAAACGGCCCTCACGGAGTAGAGCACCAGCTCCACTGCAGCCTACCACCACGGCCAGTAGTGGTGCCGGTGTGCACGGAGGACGTAGCAGTCAGCCAGTGAGGAGTAGCGGAGGCAAAGTTTCCTACTCTGCGGTGTGGCAATTTTTCGTCAAGCCGCCCGAGGAAGTAAACGTAGCCGTATGTCGACTATGTGGCCAGAAAGTCAAGCGTGGCCAGGGGGCCCATGTTGGGACTACAGCGTTGCGTCAGCATATGCAGCGTCGCCATTCGGTGGCCTGGGAAAACCGTGATAAAGATACGGCGGTTCTGCCTGCCCCAGCCCAGGGTTCCATTTTGTCATAGGGTGCTGGCAGATTACAGGCCTCCCATAGGTGCCGCCAGGCCCCAAATCGGCCATGGGCCCCCGTACCGCCTGGTCACGCTGCTGCTGAGCCCACAGTGTGACCTGGGTCCCTGTACGGCCTCCCATTGCTTCCACTCTGCCATGTGCCACTTTGAAATCTCCTCACACTCCTGCGGTTGTCCATTTTGTCATAGGTTGCTGGCAGATTACAGGCCTTCCATAGGTGCCACCAGGCCCCAAATCGGCCATGGGCCCCCGTACCGCCTGGTCACGCTGCTGCTGAGCCCACAGTGTGACCTGGGTCCCTGTACCGCCTCCCATTGCTCCCACTCTGCCATGTGCCACTTTGAGGTCTCCTCACACTGCTGGTGTGTTCAATTTTTTGACATAGGGTGCTGGCAGATTACGGGCCTCCCATTGCTGCTGCCAGGCACGTAATCTGCCATGGGCCCCCGTACCGACTCCTCATGCTGTGACGTTGCAACAAGGTGGAATTCAACACTACATATGTTAGACCGCCTTTACGAACAGCGAAAGGCCATCACAGATTTCCTGATGTTAAAAGCGGATAAAGGTACTCCCTGTGTAACTTAGATGTCAGCCATTGTCAGCTCATGCGTGACACCTGCGCTTGCTCAGGCCCTTTGAGGAGGCCACGCTATTCGTGAGTCGGCAGGACTATGGGATGAACGAGGTCAAATCGGCCATGGGCCCCCGTACCGCCTGTTCACGCTGATGCTGGTCCCACAGTGTGACCTGGGTCCCTGTACCGCCTCCCATTGCTCCCACTCTGCCATGTGCCACTTTGAGGTCTCCTCACACTCCTGCGGTTTTCCATTTTGTCATAGGTTGCTGGCAGGTTACAGGCCTCCCATAGGTGCTGCCAGGCCCCAAATCTGCCATGGGCCCCCGTACCGCCTGGTCACGCTACTGCTGGGCCCACAGTGTGACCTGGGTCCCTGTACCGCCTCCCATTGCTCCCACTCTGCCATGTGCCACTTTCAGGTCTCCTCACACTCCTGCTGGTTTCCATTTTGTCATAGGTTGCTGTATGGCCTCCCATTGCTGCTGCCTCCACCGCCACACTGTGGCTCCAAACACTGGTTTTGGCCCCGTGACTGGCCAAATGAGTGAAGTGTGCGGTGATTCTAAGATCGACGGCACTCATCTGCATGTCATACTGAGTGACAGTATTATTTCTCTTCCCCAGCAGACTCCAAGGGCATTTAAATTAAAGGTACAGTGTTCTGCACTAATATTAAGTCTCTATGAAGCCTAGAAACACCCTTTTTTAAGTTAAATTCACAGCGAATTTATTCGACTCGAATCGAATATTGTCCACGAATTCGCCGAATCAGTCGAATCGAATTTTTCATTTCTTCGCTCATCTCTATTGTTATATTCAATAAAAATGTATTGAATATAAAATCAATGTGCAAAACCAAAAATCAATGCAAAATCAATGTGCAAAACCTTTCTCTTCTTCCTCCTTAAACAATTTATCAGTTTAATTCACCAATGAAGTGCCAGTTGAAGTAGGAGGTTCTCTTCACTCCATGTTTTCTTTTAAAGCTTGATTGAAATGTCTGCATGCTTTTTGGCTACTGCTTAATGTATTAAGGATTTGACCTCTGATTATGTAACCAGAGCAGCTTCTAAATATCTTTAGCATTCTCAGAGCTGTGCAGACCCAGCACAACCTTTCTGTGTCTGAAGATAGGGTTGTGGGCAGAGAGTACTTGTTTTCAACCTGAATGTCACAAAGGAGATCAATCAAATGATGTTTTATCTCTGTGGTAAACTAAGGAAGCATAACTGGTGGGAGAGGGGTCTCTGTCACCATAACTTGATTTTTCTGACTTCTTGCTGTAGTTTATTTTACCTCACTGCTTAACCTATCTCTATATAATGAAATCCAGCTCACAGGCTGCTAGTCAGTGTGGCATACTTCATAGGATTGGAGTGTTTATAAAAACCATCTTCCACCCGGCCACTGTATAAAAATGGAGCTTCTTTGTTTTGGGAAGACATTCCACAAGGAACACAGACGTAAAAAAAAAATCATCATGCCTCTTACTAAATACTTTGGACTGTCTACTTTCCACAAATGGGTATTTTGGGGATATTTGTACTGTGCTGTCATTTTAGGGCTTCAGGAGATTATATATGCGGTCAGAACATCAGGATTGATCTATTTTCAAATATGAATGCCATAGCTTATAGACTCTATAACTTTCCCACAGACTAAATAATATACACTGGTCGAGTTTTTTTTTTTTTACCAAAAAAATAAGCAGAATGCATTTTGGCCTAAGTTTATGAAAAACGTTTATTTATTTGCAAAAATGTATAACAGAAACTAAGTAATTTTAAGTTTTTTTTTTTTTTTTTTTTTTGGTCTTTTCATTTATATAGCAGACATAAAGAAAAAAAGCAATGATTACATACAACCAAAAGAAAGCTTCATCTGTCTTAAAAAATTATATAAAATTAATTTGGATATAATGTTGCAGGACTGAGTAATTGCCATATAAAGTATGACTGCTCAATTCTTACAAATAGCCTGGTCTTGAAGTGGTTAATGACACTGCATAGCTTGTATGTTACATTATACTATTGTGAAGCCAGTTTTATACTTACAGCTGTGAATGTTATTTGTCTTAAAATAGTTTACATGATGAGGCCAGTGTGCTCTGGTGTCTGTTTATGTTTTTTATACTAATGGAATTTTGAATTTATTATACATATTAAAGGTTAGGAGTTTATATTTTACCTAAAACAGCACTAAACTTAAACCAGTGTGAAGGTACTTCACAAACTTAAAATCTGGTAAATATAATCTTAAAATGAAGGCAGTACACTATCTCCATTTGATGTTTTAGGAATATTAACTTTTTACATTTCTTCAATCTGATGTTTAAAACTATGCAGTGCATAGTTTACAAAGTCATATTTATTTTTTAAATAAACAAAAATGTTCAGATTCTATTAATAAGTAATAGCAATGGTGTTTGTCAGCTGTGATATACCTTTTTTCCTACATGTATAGTTCTATAAAAGCACAATAATAGGTGTTCTGCATTCCTCTAATTTACTTTACAAATAGAAGAGAGAATAAAAAAACAGTTCTTAAAATAAACACATTGCTGCTCTAATTGGGTTTAGTGCTGACATTATGAAAAGAAAAGTGTGGGTTTGCTCAACTAAAAGCAGAGAACTATATAACATACGTTGGTATTTGTTCTTTTCTTTAATAATATAGTCTAAAACAATTGCATGGTGATACTGGGGTGACAGCCCTAATTTAGTTTCATTTGAAATAAGACCACCTTGCACATTGAACAATTCAAATTTATAGACAATACCCGTCTAGTTCTGTTAAATTTTGTGACCAGTTTAACCACTATTTCCATATTTTTCTAAAAAAAAAAACCCACATCTCAAAAGAAGTTAAATGTTTTTCTGATTATTAGTTGTTTGAGCAGATGATCAGCTTTTCTATCCATGTGTTTTACAATACATTGAAAATGTAACTCTGCCTTGCTGTAAATTTCAAGCAAATTTAAAGGCAATATAATAAGATATATATAACAAATATGTGATAATAAATATAACCACAAAAAATAGCGCTCACAAAATGTAACCAATTATATGAATATATGTATATATATATATATATATATATATATATATATATATATATATATAAATATTACTTATAATACTATTCATAATATTAATCAACCACACGCTCTTGACCACACCCTATTATCACATATTTGTTATATACATTTTGGGTCATTGCTGTATAATAGCAGCTCCTACCTCAGAGAATTGATTAATTATTTTCTCAGTTCAACATTCTTAAGGCGAGATGATGTAGGCTTTGGTATATGTTGATTTTTTATTAATATAATTCACACAAGGTTTATATTATTACATAAAATATAATAAGATAATCAGCTTATAATTGATATTAAATTCTGCGTAAAAATAGGTCACATTTATCATTTGTATTAAGTTAGAATTGTTCTTGGTAAATAAACAAGCAACTCAATTCACAATTTGCACCAGAAATGACACACATAAGAATGTGCGGAGAGAAGAATGGAGGTTACCATTACTGTTCTCTTTCTGGAAATTCTAGCAGCTTGGCTTTTATGTTCATCTCATAACTTCAATATATTCTGAGAAGAAGTAAATCTCGTATTTATTATAATTGCCTATATGTCATGATAACAAAGTGTATTGAACTGCGGATTTCAGTAAAGGTAAAAACCAGAGGAGCTTTACCCCAAATCTTGGCACATTATGAAATTACTTTTCAAAATTTCAATTTGTTAAAGGCTGTCCTAATGGAGGAGTATGGGAGACAGATATATGAAACTATAAAAGCTTGCTCAAGTATTTTTTTTCTTGCACAGTAAGGGACAAGGATTTGGATGTGGTGAGGGAGCTTGTTCAAACACAATTCAGTATCAGATAGCTGTGAAACCACTCGATTATTTTTTTTTTCTTTTCCTTTCTTTTCCAGAAATGTTATATTTTAACTTTTACAGCACAATTACAAAATTACAAAGAAAACTTTTTAAAAATTTGTACACAGAGGAGTGGGATACATTATTGATCAGAGGAGGCAAAATAAAGTAAAAAAAAAAAGATGTGTTGTCTGTGTCTTCCATAGCAGGACAACTTCCATGTGTCAGAATGTGTGGAAATACTTAACCAGATTTGTTAGAGGAAGTTGCAATGTTTGCTGTTCTATAGAGGTACTGTGACATCAATAATACCAACCATATTACAAGTAACATTATAACAATGGGAACTGTCACATGGCATTCCATTATGAGTATGAACAATGAAGAGATTTGTGGGGTACCTTGGATAGGGTACAAGTCAGCATATGGTTAGTCAGGAGGTTTTTCTTTTTTGGTTGAATTATTCTTCCTAAGGGCTCATTCACACTATATGCATTGGGTTGCTGCAGGTAGCATGGGGCCGCATTGCTCACATGTTATATAGCACAGACCTTCTTAAAACAAGGTAAAATTACGTCTTATTCCATCACATTAACATAATTAAAATGATTATTACTCTTTTCAGGACAATGAGCAATGCCAATGAAATCATTGCTTTTCACCCCCCTAGCCAGATGCACATCCAGAACAGCTGATGTATAGTGCCAATATAGCTTAATATTATAGTGCAATTTAGTGCATACAACTTTTTTTTGTTTTATTTAAGTCCGCGGAGGTGCCACAAAACCCGTAAGTTGAGAAAAAAAACGTGCAAGTGCAAAACACCAGCAGAAAAAAGTGCCCTTATGGGTGTTCTTTTGTCCACCTCCCGAAGGATAAAGACCTCTACCCTGTTCCCCTGAGGCACAAGGCTCCTGACAGGGACAAAGTGTTTCCAACATGGTCCACCTAGCCAAAAGGATAGGCAGGCCCCTTTCTTTGTGGCCAGTTGAAGCTGACCACCAAGTACTTGATCTTCCAAAGAAAGACCCCCCCAAGAATCAGGGGAGGAAGGAACCTAAGTGTCACATATCCTCCCCCTAGATGTTAGGGTAGGCCCAAGGACCCACAGCCTCCATCCATTGAGAAAAAAAACACACACATAAGTGAAAGATGACAAACACGTGGAGAAAAATAAATGAATAAATATGTGGCTGTGCAATTGTGCACTGGCTAGACCCTTAGGCCTGTAGCAAAAAAATTGCCATGGACTGGAAAATTGCCAAAAAGCCTAGCCCTAAAAGTCGCAGTGCAAAAAAAGTGCTGTGACCATGTGCACTTCTCATACGTGGTATCCCATCCCCATTTGTTACTAAGAGTATCCCTAGGGTGACCACTCCCAGGGGGCAGAGCTCCACAGACTTTTTGCCTCCCTGGCCCCTAGGCAGACAAGGTAGACCCATTCAAATCAGGAAGAACTGGGCCCATCTGGTTTTCTCAGGGCAATTACTCCTGTGCCCCAACTGCCTGTGGGTGCCCCGGTTTCTGTTCCAGCCAGTACTAGCCTTCAGAGCCCCCATCATACCAGCAGGGGTACTATACAGCCAGCCATTCTCACCAAAAGGCAAAAATGATGGTGGAGCACCCCTAATAAACACTGATAAGAATGGATAATACACTTGAACTTACCCAAAAAGCAGAGAAACAACCAGCAATACAGTATAACCATGAAGGTTATGGTGAAAAGGAAATAAAGCAAACAAAAAAAAATAGGCTTTTTTGGTTGCTTTAATCCCTTCTTACCATATTCTGTATAGTTATACCAACAAGCATTAAAGGAATAGTAATTTAGCTTCGGCTATGAAAAAAAAAAAACAATCAGAGCAACACAAAATGTTAAAAAGCTCATGACAATGCACACCAATATGCATGTTAATTATAACATATGCAATGTGAATCCAGCCATACTCACATGGAATTATTTTAATGTGAAAATAAACTCAACATAGGACATTTTCTGCATCTGTGAGTATATTAAGCATAAAAACTTGTATGTGCCCATATCATCCAAAGCCTTGATGTTTATGAGAATGTCACTGTTTATTTTTCCTGTTCACATCACTTGTGCATTCTCAGATTTTCACACAATCACAACACACTTGTCTGTGCCATGATCTGCAAGAGCACCTTGTTGTGCTGACATCACCATAACTCTCTGGGACAGGTGCTCATCTTGAGAATTTATATTGAGTTCCTTAAACCCTATGTGAATACCGACATTACTGGGGTTAAATATATGTGTCAGTTTTCACATCTGCATAGTCCACAGCTGACTATTAATTGCCAAGGGGATGTGCTGCGACATTGATAACCATGACACTGCATCATGGCAACTTATTTTCAAACTGAGGCCTGACTATCTTGCACTGCATATGCAATTTTGCTAAAGGCTGTCCATGCAGGCTGTCCATTCCTAAATAGGGTTTAGGAAAAAGAAAGGAGGACATTTTTAAAGGCTGTGTCTGCTTCAGGAGGGAATTTAGGGGAACTAACCAATTGAAAAAAAAAAAAGAGCAATAATACAGCAACATAGAATGACAGTCACCAGAGTTTAATTATTTTTAAAGTAAAATTTAAACTCTTAAGCATTTGCACAATTGGATTCTTGAAACAACCAATGGATAGTTAATGTAAAAGAACCACTCAGTGTTATCATGTTTAGAGTCCAGTACAGGGGTGGACTGACCATTTGGAAACTCGGGCACTGCCCGAGGGCCCGGGGTCAGTAGGGGGCCCCATGAAATGCCACTGGTACCTTTTTCATAGGCTTTTTTGAGTTTTGGCAAGGACACAGGGGCCCCATGATCCCCTATTGCCCGGGGGCCCCATGAATTGTCAGTCCGCCCCTGGTCCAGTATACATGATCTTGTCATCTGCCCAGCAAGAACTCTTGCCTCCATCATATTCTTGTTCAGATATTGGTTTTGCTCACTGTGCAATCTCCTTTCACAGAATGGAATACATTTCTTCCAAAGTTTGGCAGAAATGGCAGCTTTTCTTTTTATCTCTGCAAATGCCATGGAACGGCATGGTGTTGCCAAGGCATGGTGTTGCCTTCCAGCCAGTTTTTTTTTTCAGGTTACCAGCATCTTTCAGTATCAAGCAACTTAGCAAGAGCAAAACACAATACATGACAGGAATTGTGCAGAAGTAGTCAATACTTCTCACACATATGAACTGTCTTAAAATTCTTGCCTGTAAATTGGAATGATCACAGTGCAATAAAAACTTGGTTTACAAAACCATGTTCTTTCATATATCAGCTACAATGTATTTAGGTAATAACTACAATTTATTAATTTCTTGAAATTATATATAATTTCTATAAACATTTCCAAAATGGCTTGATAATAAGTCAGTAGTAAAGGAAAAATAGAAAGGAAACAATATCTAGACTTTTAATCATCAAGAACAACTATTATTTGAGTGTTGCAGCAATTGCAAGACATTGTTAACAGGGTGGTCACAAGGGAATTACAGTGTTCTATACTCAAGCTTTATTACAGGATTAAGAGATTTTTTTTTATCTCTCCTATCTTGAAAAGAAGTACATTTATAGATATTAAATGCTCTCTCTCACAGGTTTTTCAGCAGTTATTTGTCAAGTGTGACACACTGCCCAACTGCATCTTTCAGAAAAGTTTTTAGTTCACATCTCATTACCCTTCATGTCAGAGCGCTTCTATGCTGTTTTAGCCCTTTCTAGCTCTGATCGTGTTATTATCTCCACTTGCAGTGCTGATGCGTGAGTTTGAGCACCACAGGGCATTTGATGTGTTGTGCTCACTGTTTTTTTCTTGTCTTAAACCTTCCTTTGGAAAACTGATGGCTCATTCTGTATGTGGTTTGGGTAATAATAGCATTAGCAGCTAAGGTGCTTTAACAAGTAATAATGTCTTACATTTTGTGAATCCTCTCATTCAAATATAGTATTTTATTTTCCTGGCCAATTCTTTTTTAATCTTATTATTATTAATATTCATTGTATTGTATGAGCTGAAACTAAAGTTATGCAATGGTTTCAACATTTTTTAATTGGCAGCAATATTGTGTTGTTTTATGTTTTCCATTGCATATTAATATTACCTTTTTAGGATGTCATTTATAAACTTATAAAAATGTAAGTATACAGCACAAAAACATTTTTTTATCATTGTCACGCACTTTGTTTTTATTTGTTGTTTTGCACATCATGCTAGGGGCATTTTTAGAAGATGCAGTCACTTTTGTACTATCCCGATGCTCTACAGTATATACACTGTTCAAAAAAATGAAAGGAACACTTTTTAATCAGAGTATAGCATCAATTCATTTAAGCTTCTGGGATATTGATCTGGTCAGTTAAGTAGCAGAGGAGGTTGTTAATAAGTTTCAGCTGCTTTGGTGTTAATGAAATTAACAACAGGTGCACTAGATGGGCAACAATGAGACTACCTCCAAAACAGGAATGATTTTACAGGTGGTGGCCACTGACATTTTTTCCCTACTCATCTTTTCTGACCGTTTTTCGCTAGTATTGCATTTGACTAGGGTTAGTGTCACTACTGGTAGCATGAAGCGATACCTGGACTCCACAGAGGTTGCACAGGCAGTCCAACTCCTCTAGGATGGCACATCAATACGTGCCATTGCCAGAAGGTTTGCTGTGTCTCCCAGCACAGTCTCAAGAGCATGGAGGAGATTCCAAGAGACAGGCAGTTACTCTAGTAGAGCTGGACAGGGCTGTAGAAGGTCCTTAACCCATCAGCAGGATCGGTATCTGCTCCTTTGTGCAAAGAGGAACAGGCTGAGCACTGCCAGAGTCCTACAAAATGACCTCCAGCAGGTCACTGGTGTGAATGTCTCTGACCAAAAAATCAGAAACAGACTTCATGAGGGTGGCCTGAGGGCCCAACATCCTTTAGTTGGCCCTGTGCTCACTGCCTGACACCATAGAGCTCAATGGGCATTTGCCATTGAACACCACAATTGGCAGGTCCGCCGCTGGCGCCCTGTGCTTTTCACAGAAGAGAGCAGGTTCACCCTAAGCACATGTGACAGACTTGAACGGGTCTGGAGAAACTATGGAGAATGTTCTGCTGCCTGTAACATAATTCAGCATGCCTGCTTTAGTGGTGGAACTGTGATGGTCTGGGGAGGCATATCCATGGAGGGACACACAGACCTTTACAGGCTAGACATTGCCACAGGTATCAGGATGAAATCCTTGGACCCATTGTCAGACCCTACATTGGTGCAGTGGATCCTGGGTTCCTCCTGGTGCACAACAATGCCCGACCTAAATCCAATAGAACACCTCTGGGATACCATGTTTCGGTCAATCCGATGCTGTCAGGTTGCACCTCAGACTGTCCAGGAGCTCAGTGTTGCCCTGGTCCAGATCTGGAAGGAAATACCCCAGGACACCATCCATAATCTTATTATGAGCATGCTCTGATGTTGTCAGGCATGCATACAAGCACATGGGGGCAATACGAACTACTGAGGACCATTCTGAGTTGCTGCAATGAAATTTGAGCAAAATGGACTAGCCTGCTGCATAATTTGTTCACTTTGATTTTCAGGGTGTCTTTGAATTAAGTCCTCTGTAGGTTTTACTTTTCATTTCCATCAAACGATGGGGCATCCTTACATTTCTAACACATTACCCAGTCCATAACAGTATAGATATCCAGCATGATATTTTCCCCATTGAGATCTGATGTTTTCAAATTGTTCCTTGAGCAGTGTATGTATCCCCATACCTTTCTCAGTGTTGTGCATTTAAGTATTTAGAGCAAATCATTTTTAAGCCACTCCTGTAATGTATCCACTCTACCATAACTATACTTTCACTCTGCTTCTTTACGTAGGAGCCTCTGCACAGTGTCTCTACCTTTTTTCCCTGGATTGTATTTGATTGTGGATTTCCTCCTGTGCCACGGAAATCCTCATGCACCCCATCAATTCACTTCCTAAAGTGACTAAAGCTAGTAAATGTCTTTAAAGTCAACTTATTATAAAAATTAAAATGTTCTTTATTCTAGCAGCTGGCAAACAGATAAACATTTTAAACAATTTTATCTAGTCTTCTTTTTTCTGATGAAAGCTCCTACCATGTACCATGATCTAGTACTTTGTATATACTTTTGGAAAATTATTAGAGACCATTTTGCATCAAAAACTGTAAACCGATATATATAAGGGGGAATCTAAAACTGAAAATGAACCATCAACACCATAAACGTCTATACAAATTTAAGCCCAAAAAGTGCATCAAGCCATTTAAAGTGAAAAAATGCAAATTAAAAATAAAATACATTATTAAATATGAAAACTGTGAATTTTATTGATCAGTATATGGTTGTTATTATTGGAAGGGGACTCACTCAATTGATAGCTCTACGGGATAAAGGCAGCATACAATGCAGCTCTTTAAGGGATTATTGGTACCATGTTTATTTGTAGGTGTTCATACAAAAACAAATTGCTTCACTTCACCATAAAACAAAACAAAAAGGCCTGATTGATAAAAATGCTAAGTCGGCACTTAGTGGACAAGAAACAGCTAGCACCAGAGAACAAAATGCCCAATTCCCCTTGATATATGTAAAGATACATGGGTGTAGCGTGAAAAAAATGTAAACATCAAAAATTATATACCATTAATCAGTAAAAAAAAAACCTCAGTGCAAGTAAAAAAAATATTATGTAGAACTAAATTAACAAAAAAAAAAAAGTTAATGTGAAACAATAATGAACAAATATGAAACCAATCAGTCCATATATCAGTGTGTATAATAAGTCCACCAGTTCCTGAACATATGGTGCATAAATTCCTCCTTTACTTCATTTATGATGTGTAAATAGCACTGTCAAAATCTACTGTGCCAAAACCACCACCAGCACTCCACACTCAATGGAATGCCAAAAGTTATAAGCAGCAACAGCGCTCTACAGTATGTAATCACCCAGGTGACAATAGCTCTCTCATGGAAGCGGTCTCAGGGGTGCTGAGGATACACTAGAGAGTGAAACACATTGGGTTGAGTTTAGAGTGCTGATGTCAAGCCACCACATTCGTAAGTGCTGTCAATTTTATGTTTGATTTTCAGCTATGTTTTGTGCTGCAGGAGCAGATTTTATATAACTACTACAGTATGGAAGTTATATTTGGTTCCGTTTGCTGAGCATCTATCCCATACAGCCACACTCATTCATGTACCCTGGGCCGTGAAGATCTAGTTAGTGGACACGTGTAAAAGTACCATTTCCATGAGAGAGCAGTTGTCATCTGGGTGATTACATAGAGTGCTGTTGCTGCTAATAACGTTTGCCAGCCACATGGTCTAGTGAATGAGGAGTACTGGCGGTGGCTTTGGCACAGTAGATTTTCACAGTGTTATTCACACATCTTGAATGAAGTAAAGGAGGAATTTATACACATATGTTCAGGAACTGGTGGACTTATTATAAACAGTGATACAGACTTTTGATTGGTTTCATATTTGTTCGTCATTTTTTCTTGTTAATTTAGTTCTATATATTAAGTTTTTACTGTTACTGAGGTTTTTTAACTGATTAATGGTATATACTTTTTGTCATCTCTCTCTAGCTGCAGGTAACAGCTGGATGTGTGGATACATGTTGCTCTGAGGAAGAAGGGATCACCCTTCGAAACGCGCCAGGTTCACCCTGAGATTCTTCCCTTTCGATGGGATTCGCACGAACTATTCCAGTGCTTCAATTTTGGATTTTATATGCCTTATATATTGCCACTTTTGTGAGTATATTTCTTAATTTAATAAATTCACCATTTGCTTACTGAGGTAATGTGCAAGGTTAATGTGCTTTTGTTTTTGTTTTTTGTGCAGTTTGTATCGGGCTTCCCCAG